AATTAAAACAACAACAAAACCCCACACAAAACTATTCTTCCTTTTAATAGATTTTGATGTGGTTTTTTTTTTAACTTTTTAATATTTTTTGCTTTTTTTTATATCCAGCAACAACTTGGTGTATCTGCACAGGAAACAGCTTGTCACAGACTAAGACAATAATAAATAGAGATCCATCAACAAAAATAACTTGCATGAAATGTTTCTCCTCTACAGCAAAGGGTTAGTTGATTCTTCTTTAAAAAATGACTAAGAAAACTAGACTAAAAAATATCTAATACAAAGCAGTTATTTTAAATTTGAAAGCCCAGTTCAAGAACCGGGCTTTCAAATTGAAAGTAACTTGGAGGGGGAAGTAAAAACGATATTATTTATTTAGCACTTATCACTGTTTTACCTGTACAGTTTAATAAAATACAGCTTTGATAAATGAAGCCATATGTAGAAAAAGTTAGGTTTCAGCCTGTGTTTCTCCGTTCAGTTAATTTCAGCCTGTTGTACTCTATCACTGTATACCCAATTTAAAAACGAATAGCAAAAGAGGTTTCATTGCCATTTAAAATTCTGAAAGATGAAACAAATTTAATAAACTGTAAAATATATACATTTCCCACCAGTTTCAGCATGAATCCAACATGATTGCTGGAATTGTTCTATAAATGTGGGCTCATTTGATAGTTGGAATTGGATTCAGAACGGATTGTACAAAATTAGCAAGAAACTTCATGCCACTGCCTAGCATCTGCAGATGAAAACTTCAGTCAGAAGACTGACTGAAAAGTTGACAATTTACTCTCCTTCAACTTTTTTCAAGGGGGCACATGCTGTCTTAATTTCTGATACTCTTTTTTTTTAAAAATGGGGTCATCAAAGAGAGTTCCCTAACTAAATGACCAACATTGCTGCCTTAAAAAAAGCAGAGAGATTCGGCCCTTGCTCTCAAACAAGATTCAAAGCACTTCTGATTCGAACAACAGACTATCGTTTTACTTCCCCCAACACTTTAAAATGCCATTAATCTATCCAACGCACTGACAAAACATTAGAGTTAACCTTCATATCTCATTTGGTCTAGAATCCCTTTTGCCAAAGGAAATCCAAGATCTTCAGTCTTCCACGGCAGACAAGTTTTTGAAAAGCATATTTTGCACTGGAGAGAAAAACTGGAGGGTCAACAATATTGACTCACCAACTGACCTGTCCAGATGGATGACTTCAAAGCTGTATCTATCTACATACCTTGGACCAGTGTTTTTCAACCTTGGCCGCTTTAAGCTGTGTGGACTTCAACTCCCAGAATTCCCCAGCCAGCATTTGGACAGTTCTTCTGCTTTAGCCTCTCCACCTAAATCTATTGTGTTCTGGGAGTCTGGGGATGACAGGAAAGTTACTAAGGAGTTGCTGGAGCTCCTTGCAAGCTTCTGAGAAGGAATCAGATTGATTGACCCTGGGCTTCCATTCCTCTGCAAACTAAGATGTTGAGTCAAAGGTAATTTTAATTCCTTGGCCAAGGTAGGCTTCTTAGCCTCTCAAGCAGCTGTAGTTGCTTGCACAGAAGAGAAACCAGCGAAGAGGATAATGGCTAGGAGAACCTCATTATGGATAAAAGCACTATTGGGCACACTTCAGGGAGGAGACTAAGGAGTGTACTATTGGCTATGTATGGAGAATCAGAGAATTTTGGACCAGACACTGTTCCTGAGAGTCTCTGGGATCTGTGGCAGACCCTCTGGGACTTCTCAGTAGCTTGAGACCCTTTCGTTCAAGGCTGGAGTTTCTCCTCCTGTTGGAACAAGCCTCGTGGGTCAAGGAAACCATTGGACAACGCTCTCTGAAGGGTAACTAAGCTGGAACTCGCAACCAGCTATTTTGTAAAGTTCTATGATGAGCTGATAAAACTGAAAAACCCCTACCCTGAAAAGGACAGAAGAAAATGCCAAAGGTGGCTAAGGAGCCTGGTCAACTCCAAGACCCCACTGATGCTGTCTCAGAAGCTGTTCTTGCACGAAACAGGTAAGGAGGAAGAGATGGTGTTTTACCTCTTGTCCAATCAACATGCTATGTAGGGAGCCCTCTACACCGACAAGATTGATTTCTTCCTGCTTGATGCTGGTTTCCAATGCCACTGTAAGTCCATTGGATACCTGCTAACCTAGTGGATAGTGGTGGTGGTGAAATATCATGTTCAGAAAAAACAAAATGCTTTTGAGACTAAATTCTGGAAAGCCCTCACTGGTCTCCACCGTGGCTGTTGACCCTCCAATGAACTGATTCCAATCCTGCTTGGAGTGAGATGTCCTTCCACATTCTGGGGCTCATCTCTTCCACGAGTTCAGGCATTCATCCCAACTGAGCTGGGAGGCTGTTGGGTTAGCAGCCAGGCATCCCGATCTAAAGCAGCTTCCTGTCCCAGCCCTGGGCTCCTAACTTCCCAGATCCAACTCCTCAAGCGGTTGGCTTCCCAAAACAATGTAGAAAAAGAAAGCTACGGCAAATGTTTAGATGTGCTGGACAAGGGAAAAAGAAGAAGGATTCTCCTCGAGGGAAAGGAAAAGATGGGAAGGTCAAGCAAAGATGCAGAGTGTGCCTCGTGTCAAGACTGGAGGAAAAAAGGGTGGTCCCCAAATACAATGCAAAGGGAAACGAGTTTCCTGCTAGGTCGATGCTCTTGCCCCCCGCCCCTTCCGCTTTCACAAGACCTGGAACTTCCAAGAGCTCTGATCTTTGTAATCCAAACAATCAGCAGCATTGAAGTTGAGCTTCCATGAGGCGGCGGGGTCTTTGTAGTCCAGGCAATCAACTGAGCTGAAGCCCATGCCTGCACTGCTGTAGCCCTGGCTGGAGAGGGTGGCTGGGGACTGACTCAAGTGGCTGCCCATGGTTGGGGTGGCAAGAGGGCTCAGCGCTGCTCCTGGAGCTGACAGCTGGGGGTGCATGGGGGACAGGTAGGAGCTGCAGTCAAGGCTACTGAAGTAGGAGGTAGACCCAGCGTACGTCTGGGTGTAACCCGGTGCCTGGCTGTAAGTCAGGGGGAAGGCTGCCGATCGCTGCATACAGGGGGTGGTGGAAGAGGCCAGCGGGTCTGGGAGCGGCGAGACGGAGGCCGGGCTCCAGATGGAGACAGTGGCGCTGGCGCTCGAGCTGGGTGCAACCGACGTGCCTGTTGGCAGAGGGCTATACTGCCCATTGGCGCTGGTTTCTGAACTGGTCTCTGGGGCAGGAGAGGTTTTCTTCTTTGCAGGGCGGGCTTTGGCCTGTCCACTGCTCTGCTGTTGCTGCTGGCGACATTTGGCCCGGCGGTTCTTGAACCACACCTGCGAAAAAGAAGAATGAGATGTACGGGGCAGGAGAGGACTCAGGGCAGAACTAAAAAGAACAGTCACGTTTCTCTCTGGGCGGAGGAGTCATTTAAATGCAACACAGGGAGACCAAGTCTGGAAATCAAGGGTCAATCATGTCATCGGAAAGCACTAAGGGGGATCAGGAGCTATAAACCTATTTGTGTTGGCCGGGCATCTTCTTAAGGCCTCAGTTATTCAATCTATTTTCACAACGAAAGGGTTTGGGCTTTCATTGCTACCATCTCATGAGCCAACCATCTCCATGAATCTAGGAAACAGTGATGGGACTCCTAGATTGTCCCTGCTAAACTGCCAGCTGCCATCTACAAGGGTGGTCTCCACGCTGCTTGCAAATTTGGCTTACAAATTGCCCAAGAGCGCTAGAAAAGGTGGAGGTCCATCATGGGCATATTGGACTATACAAGAGCAAGTACAGAAGGCGTTAGGGTGGTCCCTGATGGAAGGAAAGAACCCCAACCAGCCAGTGGTGGGCTGGAGCCCAAGGAACAGGTGCCTAATGAAGGCAGCCTTCCCTCCAGATGTGTGGGGCTGCAGCTCCCAGAATTCCCAACCACTGACTGCACTGGAAAACATCTGCAGGACAAAGTGGGGGAGAACCTCTGTCCACTAGAGGGCACAGGACACACGTCAAAATCCTGAGATTCAACTTTAGAGCAAACAGCTCACACTGAATTCTCCTGGTCCACCAGCATCCAAACCTCCAGGACATTTCAGCTATTTCATTCATCAGTACAAGAAGTTTTTTTTCCCAACCCACTCAAACAACAAAACCAGGATTCCTGAAATTGCAGTCCAAGCTGTCTGTCTATCTATCTTTCAGATGTGTTGCCTATCTCACTGCAGAGTGACTCTATCTATTTATCTATTTATCTATTTATTTATCTATTTATCTATTTATCTATCTACTTACCTACCTACCTACCTACCACCATGCTTGTCAGACCTAACATCTTGGAACTGGTTACTGCAATAGCGCAAGAGGTCTTTTATAGAAATTTCATGGGGCTGAGCCCTTCCTAAGAAAGACATGATTTCTGACTGGGGCTGGCCAGAGCATCTGCTGGGAAGGAACAGGATCAGCCTTGGTTTCCCCTGTGGGACAGGCAACCCTAAGTGCCATGAAACAGGCACAGGGCTCCGAGCAGGTGTCAACATCTGTTTCTGTGACCATGCTTACTAGGAATTAACTAACATCACAGGTGTTATAAAAGTTCATCCATTGATTTAAACCCCATTTTGCTCCTCTATTTTAAATTTTAGGATGCCTTTTATGCAGTGTGTTATTTGTTGCTACATTTGTAATTATTTCTTATCCCTAGTCTTGGACTAAAATAAAAAAAATATCTATCTACCTATCTCAGCAAAGTCTTACTTTACCTTCTGCAATGCACACTGAACTTCAGATATGTGTATTAGGGCTGGGCGTGCTTCAAAAAGTATTTGGAAGAAGTCCTTTGGACCTCTGTGAGGCCAGCACTGCTCTGTATCCTTTAAAGCAAACCCAGTTTCTTTCAGGTTTCGGTGTGAACTTGAAAAAATGTGAAAGCTGATTAAAGAGCTGATTAACTTCTAAGCGTCCTTTGAAAGAGCATCATCTTTCTTTCAGGAAACTTGAAAAAAAGTTGGGCTGCTTTAATGAACAGAAATTTCTGGGCAGGCAGAAATTCCAGGTTTTGTTTCTGAATTATTTTCGAAGCATCACAACAAGAATGCATATAGCCTGTTATGTAGAATTAGATCATTCTCTCCGTAAAAGAAAAACACAGAAGCAGGTGACTTGAGATATTTACTTTACTTATTTTTTTTAAAAAAAGGATCCCTCATTCTACCATCTTGACTTTTTTGATCACACTCCGTGGACACCCCAATTCAAGATTTCTATCTTCTTGGAATTTATTTATTTTTAGGATTGTTTTTATGTTGTATTTTAATTAATTTTTATCTTGTTGTCCAAAGTTGTCCAAATTTTTATCTTGTTGTTTATCTTGTTGACGCCCAAAGTCGTCTCACGAGATGGGTGGTGACAAATTTGATGAATAAATAAATAAAGATACCTGTTCTCTGTCAATTTTTAAAATGTCTTTCTGTTCTAAAAATGGAACGATTATGTTTCCATATGGACTAAATTTAATACTATGTTAAAAGGTTGTACTAGTTTTAATTTTATATGGATCTTTTCTTCTATACTTTCTCTTACATTTTAGTTCATCCTAATCCAGTGTTTCTCAACCTTGGCAACTTGAAGATGCACGCTG